GCACTCACACTGCACTTCCCCAAACCAAAAAACTAGTTCACACCTTTTCTCTCCTGACCCTCTCGACCTCACCCACATCCTCACTCTCAGCTGATGATCCTGTTTCCTACCTCACTGAGGAAATTAAAACAAGATAAACAAACAGACACACAGATAAGGACAACAGATTGGTGGTTACCAGAGGGGAAGGGAGTCGGGGAGGTGAAAGGGGTAAAGGGGCACATATGTGTGTGACGGATAAAAACTAGACTAGTGGTGGTGAACATGCAGTCTATACAGAAGCTGAAACATAATAATGTACCCCTGAAATGTACACAATATTAGAAACTAATGTGACCCCAATAAAATAATTTTTAAAAAGAGCACTTCGGCAGATCACAATCAGCACACCTACCTAATACTGCACCTACACACTCTGCCTTCGAGCCTGTTACCCAGGAAGACCTATCAGTGCTCCTGCCTCCAGCTATCCCTCCACCGCACACTTCACCCCACCCTCTCTCACCCACTGAAAAACCTCACTCCAGCAGCTCTTCCTCTCCACTGGATCACTCCCTTTGTATGCATACTGTTATGTTCTACATGTTAACATTTTACACGCGTACTTTTATTTCTTCTAACGTAAAGAAAAGACCTCTTTCCCCCACTTTTCTGAACTGTTCCTACTCCATTTCTTTGCCCTGACTCTTGGCAATCTAACTTTTGCCATCACCACCCCACCTAAACCGCTCATCCAGATTACCAATAATCACACTGTTAAATACAGGGGTCAACTTGTAGTCCTCAGCTTATTTCCGCAGCATTTTGACACCACTAAGCTTTTCAAAAGGAGAAGGAAAAGCTTTCTTCCCTTGATTTCTGGTTACTACACTCTCTTGGTTTTCCTCCCGTCTCCCTGGCAGCTTCTTCCTAGTCTCCTCTGCTATTTCTTCCTACTCTCCTTGATTTCTTAACACTGGAATGCTTCCAGGTCCAGTGCTTGGTACTGTTCTCTTCTCTATCTGCACTTACTCACTCGCTGACCTTACCCAGTCCAGGCAAGAGCTATCTATATGCCACTGACTCCCACATTTATGTCTTCGGTCCACAACTTCCTCCTAAACTCCAAACTCACATAGACAACTGCCAGTTTAACGTTTTCACTAGGCTATCTGATAGACATCTCAAATTTCAATGTCTCAAACTGAACTTGTGATCTTTCCCCCCAAATCTGTTCTACCTGCAGATTTCTCCATTCCGTTTATGGTAACTTCACCCTTCTCACTGTTTGGGTCAAAAACCTGAAGGCATCCCCAACTCCTATCTTTCATACCTCCTAGCCGATCCAGAGTCAATCCTATTGGCTCTACCTTCAACATTCATCCAGAATCCAACCACTTTTCACCACCTCCAGGGCTACCACTCCGGTCAAAGCCACCACCACCATCTCTCATGGTACTGTAATAGCCTCCTAATGGCTTTTCCAGTTTCTAATCTTCCCTCCTCAGTCTATTCTAAATACAGCAGCCGGAGTGCCTATTTTTGTTTTCAACATTTTACTACGGAAAAATCTATATAACAGCATGGAGAATACTATAATAAACCCCATATACCTGTCGTCCAGCTTCAATAATTATTAACATATGACCAATGTTGTTTCATCTTTAAACCCCATGGTCGCCCGCCCTCCAAATTATTTTGAAGTAAATCTTAGACATCATATCATTCCACAGAATGATCCTTTAAAAACATAAATCATGATTTCACTTGTCTGCTCAAAACCTGCCAATGGCTCCCCTTTCAAATCAGAGTTAAAAAAAAGATCTCCTAAGGGCCCTGGAGGCCTTACCTCAGGGGCTGGCAAACAATGGCCCACAAACCAAATGCAGCCAGCTGCCTGTTTGTGTGCAGCCCATGAGCTAAGAATGGGAGCTAAGGATGGTTTTTACATTTTTAAATGGTGGGAAAAGAATCAAAAGAAGAATATTTTGTGACACATGAAATAATATGACATTTAAATTTCAGAGTCCATAAATAATTTATTGGAATACAGCCACATTCATCTGCTTAAGTATTGTCTATGGCTGCCTTCGTGCTACAAAGGCATAGTTGAGTAGTTGTGACAGAGACTGTACGGCCTGCAAAGCCTAAAATATTTGCCATCTGGCCATTTACAGAAAAAAATTGCCAAACCCTGTCCTAACCAATCGTGTCCCCATATAATCTCTCTGATCTTCTCTTCCCAAACACTCCATTCAGTCTCATTGGCCTCTTTCCTGTCAGTCAGACAGGCCAGACAAATTCTTATCCCAGCGCCTTTGCATTGGCTGATCCCTCAGCTGAATATTTTTACCCCAAATATCTGCATTGTTTTCTCTCACCTTCAAGTCTTCGCTCAAATGTCACCTCTACGAGTCCTACTCTGACCACTCTATTTAAACTTGCAGTGCATGCACTCTGCCTCACACTCCATCTTCTTCTTTTTTTTTTTTTTGGAGGAAGTTTAGCCCTGAGCTAACTACTGCCAGTCCTCCTCTTTTGTTTTGCTGAGGAAGCCTGGCCCTGAGCTAACATCATGCCCATCTTCCTCCACTTCATATGTGGGACGCCTACCACAGCATGGTGTGCCAAGCGGTGCCATGTCCGCACCCGGGATCCGAACTGGCGATCCCCAGGCTGCTGAAGCGGAACGTGTGCACTTAACCGCTGAGCCACTGGGCAGGCCCCTAACACTCCATCTTCTTACCATACTTCACATTTTTCCTTTGCGTAGCACTTACCATCTTCTGATGCATTGTTTAATATCTATTGCTTATTATCTATTTCTCCCAACTAAAATGGAAGTTCCATGGTGCAAGGTTCTTTGTTGGTTCATTGATAAATCCAAAGTGCCTAGAACAGTGCCTCCTGACTCAACATGTGTTTAAAAATTGTAACTCCTGGGGCTGGCCCCGTGGCCGAGTGGTTAAGTTTGTGCGCTCCGCTGCAGGCGACCCAGTGTTTCGTTGGTTTGAATCCTGGGCGCGGACATGACACTGCTCATCAAACCACGCTGAGGCAGCATCCCACATGCCACAACTAGAAGGACCCACAACGAAGAATATATAACTATGTACTGGGGAGCTTTGGGGAGAAAAAGGAAAAAATAAAATCTTTAAAAAAAATTGTAATTCCTTATAATCAAAATTTCAGGAGTCTTAACTCAGTAAGATCTTTACAAAATGCAGACTCTAAACTCTAAGTAACAAAAATAAGAACCACTGCACTGCAAATGAAAAACCTACTCCAGAATGTTTCATCCACCCATCTGTTCATCCATCCATCAATCTAATATTTACTGTCTGTCTGCCACATCAGGGGTGTGAGGGATCTAAGGATGAAACAATCTGAGCCTACCGTCTACTAGGGAAGATAAAACTCACAGACAAGTAACTATAACAGAGGGCAGAATGTGGTGATGTGGGGCTGTAATGAAACTTAGGTCTGCTAAGGTCAAGGCCAGCGTTTTCTCTCACCACAGTCACTTTACTGCCAATTACTAACTGTTGTAAAAAAAAAAAAACAAAAAAAAAAACAACCAAGCCCCATCCTTTACAACAGCAAGAATAAGGGAAAAATGCAGCTACCACAATAAGGAAAATAAGTAAATTAATGGGTATAAATTCAATGTGCTATTATAAAATGATCAAATAATAATTATGAAAACATGGAAAATATTTTATTTTTGTATTGGGGAGAATGCATATTACAAAGTAATCTATGATACAATTAAACATGGGTATATTTATTCAGTAAACACTAATTGAACACTGACAATGGGCAGGCACTCTCCTTCGTGCTAGGGGAAATCCACACAATGATGTACAACCTTGGCCCTCAAGGGGCTCACCTATGGGGAGCGACCAGGAGAGAACTTAAACAAACATAAACAGGCAATGGATTAAGGTTGTAGACCCTGTGGGAATAGTTTTCCTTTACATTTTTTTACTTTATAATTGCTATAGTGCTGTACTTAAAATAAATAATATCAGCAGAAAAAGTTAAAAAAAAAGCAAGATGAAGTATCTCGTTGTGTCAGATGTAAAAATAAATTTAAAGAATTAAAAGGGCTTTTGGGTCCAGACTGTCCTTTAAATACCATTTCCCAGTAAAAGAAAGAACCAGGGTTATTTGGAGGAGTGGCTGATCCCAGGTCTGGAGGAAGAAATCTACAAGATGAGCCAGACAGCAAGGAACCTCAGAGAATACCTAGAGCCACTGTCCCTAAGCTATGACCTCACACGGCTCCTTTTCTGTGAAGAAGGTCAGCACGCAAATCTAACTCCAATCAGCCTGTAGCCTCTATACAGGAAGTCTTGGGAGTAGAAGGGTCAATTCTTCTGCCTTTGCTGGAGGTAACTGGCCTTTCCCAGTTCCATCCATCAGCCCCCCAGCTGCTGTTCTTGGGTTCAGCAGCTACTACTTCTACTTCAAGCAGCTGAATTCCTGTGCCCCAGATGTCTCAGAAAACTTTACTTGGACTACCATATGCAACAAATGTGCCTATGAGAATGACTTTCAAACCAATCCACCAGAATTTATCTATTCAGATGCATCTTTCCCTATCAAAATGAGCAGCACTTAGTCCAGCAACAGAGTCAACTGTGAAATCATCCTGGAACCTGAGTCCATCCACAGTCAGTGAGTAAGCCCACACAAGAACATGGGACTGGCTGTTGTAGAGTTATGGCTTGTTTCCACCGAGGATGGTATCATATAACTTCAGGACTCACCTAACACGTCAGATTTGACAGCAACGAATGGAAATTAGCTACCACTATGGATACTGAAAAGAATAAGCTGAAAAATCCAGAGGCAATTCCAAAAAAATAGTTCCAGAAATGGTCTGTCCAGTGGCAGAGCCCTAGGAGTAAGTGGGAGGCCTCCTGAGTAACCTTGTAGGTAACAGGATGCTCTCACTGGGAGGGTGAGTCTGGCCAATTTGGCGTTAGTCCACCCCACTACTTCTCATGAGGACTTACCTGAATACAAGCCCCTGTCTTCACCTTGCACAGGCTGCAGACTAAGGCCCACCGACTGGGCGGGATGTGGGAGACCTTTGTGATTGGTTCCATCCTCTCAGGACAAGCAATGCTGACCTACAAATAAAACATCACCATAAGGCAGAGGCACTAAGGCATTCCAGAAGTACCTTTCATAAACCGTAAATGATGTTACATGAAGCTCAGAACATCAAAACACTGAGGTGAACCATGTCTCCTAAGGTTACTACGGAACCAAGAATAAATAAAACCTGTCTCTAGCCACTGTTCAGACTTTCAACCATCTCCAGTAATGTAAACTATTCATCTATAGGATGAGAGGGCATGAGTGGAGACTAGGCATCGTTATCTTAATGAATCAAAGATATCTACACTTTACTTAGGAACCAAAAAGTGCTACTAAGGAAAGGAATTAAAATCCACAAAATCTAGCACCTCTCATACGTTATAGATGGTGCCACATGCCTTGTTTTTTCATGTAATTAACTAAGGATGAAAAACAGAGGCAGTGACAAGCCTTTCAGTTCAGTTTACAAAGAAGCATAATATTGTGGGCAAGTAGCAGCAATGTATGTGTAATGAAGAGACTGCAGCATGTAAGTAGAAAGGATGAGGATGATAACATTTTTAAACCAAAGTCTTTAAAACCACATAACTATCATCAGCTTACTCTACTCTCTCAGCCAAAGTAGCATCAAAGTGAAATTACTCTTGGGGAGAGCACTGAAAGGGATACTTTAAAAAAAGATGGAAAAAATTTTTTCTACGTGAAAATAAGGAGTCAAGCAACTTCTGGTAAAAAATGTTTTCTTTTCTTTCTTCCTTTTTTGTTTTTGTTGTTTTACAAATATGTACATGACTTTCTAAGAGAGAGACAACTTTAAAAAGTGAAGGACTGTTGAATAGGGGTGGTTAAACTAGCAGAAGTTCTGCCCACACTGAGAAACCAACAGTAGAAAGATCAAAGAGATGCTGAACAGCCCACAAGGTACTGGAAATCATAAGCGACTGTCAATAGGTGAGAAAGCTTCTTTTACTTTTAAAGAACTCTTCCTGAGTCATGTTCCAGACTTCTACATGCTGAGAGAGTCTGCTCCATTAGTTGGGGTATTTGCTGCTGGAAACCAGTCACTCTCAAGCCAGAAACCTGAGCGTCCATTTCACATATCTATAAGCTGGATGTTCTTAGTAAGAAAAAGACATCACTACTCAAATATGGATACCATAGTATGTATCTAGGCCTTTCAGTCTAACTCTGTGAGCTCGACTGTTAGACTGAACTGACATTAACAAGAATAAAGCCAGGCAAGTTTTAAAGGAGAATGAATTACTGATACAGTATCATCACCTCCCCCATGAACTGAATTTTGCAGTCTCTCATGTCCTGCAGTTAAATTGCCTAACAAATGTGCTGGCTTGGATAGGGGTTGGGGAAAGAGGAAGAGAATGGGATGTCTAAGCAGTAAAAAAAAAAAAAAAAAAAAAAAAAAAGGGCAGCCATAAGAAGCAAGGAGAAGTAATGATGCCTGGAAGCCCTTTTTAATCAACTTAGTGTGCATGACGTAGCTCCTCAGGAAGTATCAGCAACTGAGGGACCAGATTAAATAATGAGGGATGGAGTTTTGAATAAAGAAGCTCTTAGAGAAATATTGAGTTGAAGCTCTGAAAAGAGCTTCAGAAATCAAAGGGCAACCATCATAGTGGGGAAGAGAGCTGCTGCTTGCTTTATTTGTAATGGCCTAAAACTGGAAATAACTCAAATGTCTATCAAAGGAGAATGGATAAATAAATCACAGTATATCCATACAATGGAATACTACTCAGCAACAGAAGGGCATGAATGTTGATATACACTACAACATAAGAATGCCAGCCAGACTGAAGAGTGCATCCGGTATGATCCATTTATATGAAGTTCAAAACCAGACAAAACTAATCTTTAGTGACAGAAATTAAAATAGTAGTTTCTCTTGGGTAATAGAGGCCCAGATAGGAACTGGAAAGTGAGTATGAGGGATCCTCCTGGGGTGCTCCATGTCTACTTCTGGGGTGTTCCATGTCTTGGTCTGGGTTGTGGTTACAGATACATTCATGTGTAAAAATTCATGAAACTCTACACTTAAGATTTGGTATTTTAAAGTAAGTTTTACCTTAAAAACTCTGCTATTCATACTCTGGGGTTTTTTATACCTCTCCTCTCACACAAATGTATCCAATACCACTGGTAGTACCACCTATAAATGAATCAGCATGAGCTTGCATGCTTCACTTGCATCCAAGAAGGATACAAGGGAACTCAAGTGGAAGCATTATCAGCTCAGAAACATGGGCAGGCACGAAGCATCTCCATGAAGCCTGAGTCAGTCTGAATGCTGTGGGAAATGGGGGCACCCTGGAGCAAATGGCCTCACAGGCTCGGACAAATTCTTACCTCTGGAATCCACAGGGCACAGCTGACGTGAGCCCATTTAGTCCCTGTCCTGGTGGTCTTCATGGCTCCACCTTTTTTTGGACATAACAGACACTGTGGATGAATGCCCAGGACACAGGAGCGACACAGCCAGCTGCCTTCTGGGACTTTAAGGATGCCGTAGCAGGCCTGGAGGCATGAGGAGGAGAGGGAAGAATGGTTAGCATCCTCTCACCGGAACTGTCTACTCTGGTACACAGTTACAGAGTACCTTCTGCTTTTAGGAGAGAGAGGCCAATAAGGCTGAACAAACTCATATCCAGGATTTAGCAATTTTAAAACACTCAAAAAAAAAAAAGACAACTCCCAGTATCTGTTCTAAGATCAGCATGTCCATCTATGAGAACTGACTTGCAGGACAATAGAATAGGACTAGAAGGAAACATATACACAGGCTAGCCCAACTGTTATCTGAGTTTTGGGATTACATGTTTTTTTCTTTTTTGCCTTCATTTTCTAAAGCTTCTTCAATGATTACACATTATAATTAATCAGTCATATACTTATTGAACAACTTCTACATGTCATGTACTGTTGTGATCAAGAAAAAAAGAGTTAGAAAATAAACAGAATGAAACTTCTGAGGAGCAAATGAGCTAATGTTTAAAGAGCCTAACAGTGCCTAGTGCATAAAAGCGCTCATCAAATTGTAGCAATTACTTGCTTGGTTTGAAGACAAAGGGACTTGTGAATGAACCCTGAACTGAATAGACGATTAGACTAATCACAACACTCCATAATGAGTTCTGGAAGCTGCTTCAAATCCTTTACAGAATGAAGTTGGACAAATAAATAAGTGAATTACTGGGGTGAGGAGAGAGATTAGTTTGAAAAACATTCTAGACTTCCTTTTTACTCCCTCCAATTTCGCCCAGCCTTCTTCCCCTCACTGCTCTACCCTCACCATTAGAGACTCAAGCTGGGGCCACCTGGCTCTCCATGTGGCCTGGCATAATATCTGCACTGCTGCCTGATTCACCACAGCAGCTTCAAAAACTGTGCTTGCCCCAGGAGGTTCACCCATGGCTCAGATTCAAGTTACGACACTTACCATCACGTTACCCCACAACGGGCTCCCTTTCCAAACTCGCTCTATCCATATCACTACCATGCTTCCCAGCTGCCAGATACAAATTCCTGGACTCATATTATCCACTTTCCTTCATCTACTGTCCCTGGGGTTTGCTAGTCCTCCCTACACAGTGGCCCCTAGACTCTGACCTTCTTCTCCATCTCCACCACAACTGCTCCATCCAAGTCCTCATCACATCATCCTGGAGTGATTGATATCTAACTTCTCTTCCTCCCCCTTCATATCTTCAATCCTTCCTCTATTTGGCTGCCATATTCTTTTTACTAAAGCAAAGATTTCATACCATTGCACAGCAACAAACCCTCTAGAAATTCCCTCTGCTTCCACCCCGACCCCCATCTAAACCAGGGGTTGGCTATCTACTACTTGAGATCTGTTTTGTAGGGCCAACAAGTTAAGAATGGTTTTCCTATTTTTAAAGCGACGTTAAAACAAGAAGAATGTGTAACAGAGGCTGTATGTTGCCCTCAAAGTCTAAAATATTTACTATCTTGCCCTTCAAAGGAGAAGTTTGCTGGCCCCTGATTGAAAGGCTGCTGCTCCTCGCCTCACTTCTCAGGTCCCTGTAGCCCCTTCTGTCTGCTCTACTTCCTGACCCCCACCCTCTACTCAACATAGTTTTCCTCACCGGGTGCCTAGTTGGCAGCATGTATTCTTCTCTACTTTGGCTGTTAATGTTTCATCTCCTCAGTGAGACTGTAAGGTCACGGGGGGTAGGTCCTTTATTATCAATTTATCTGGAATGCTCTCTATGCTGAGCCCCAGTAGGTGGCTTGGTAGAAAAAAAATTAATTTAGCTCAAGAACTGAAGCTGGACTCCAACCAAATACTCTCACAACAACAGGGCATCATTTTATAAGGTTCCTAACCTTCAAAGCTTGTCTTTCTCTGAGGTCCAGCAAGTTTGGTAGGAAATGAAAGCAAGCTTCCTCCCTAAAACAGAGCCTCTTTGAGACCAGCAGAAGAAAAACCAGTGGCTGGTTCTAGGAATATCCTTTATCTCCTGGCCATTTTGCTGGGCAGAAAATCATCTACTGAGCCTTCGTGTAGACTTATGCCTGGTCACAAGATCACAGAAGCTTATATTTCATAGCAGTGGTTCTCAACTTTTTCTAGACCATTAAATGATGAAGGCTGTGGATTCTCTTGAGAAAACCGCACACATGCACGGACATATGTTTTACATATAATTTCAGGGGGTTAATAAACTTAGTGCCAAACATTATATATATATGACAGATATAAAAACCATAAGCATGTACCCTCCGGCAAATTAATTTAGGCCTCAGTTTGAGTGTTCAATACCGGGGCTAAGAAAAAGAAAATGGAACATATAAAGGGACTTGGAATGATCCCAATTTTCACATTTTTTAATGCAAAAATTTTAAGCTCATTGTTAAAACCTCAAGTCTATTGATGTAAACCTCTCTTCTAAAGTATTGACCATAAATGCAGTACAGTCACAGAGGAACAAACATTTGACATAATACGGTGGCATTAAAGAAGAAAAATTATGTTTAAAAAATACAGACGTTATATATGTCCCCGATTCTGTTAAGGAGTAAACCAAATCTTCCAAATCATTTTAAGTCACTTTTCAGTCAATAGAGGGAGCTCCAACCTAAGTATCTCTTTAGAAGTCAAGTGAAAATAATCAATTTAGAATTTCTTTTATATGAAACTTTATGTGGCACCAACATCTCATTTTAATACATACCAGCTTACCTTCTGCAAGGCCTGGTCAGGTGTTACTGACACCTCTTTCTATGTAAGGAAAGGGCATCATTTATAGTCACTACTGGGTGTGTTTTCAAAACAAATAAAATACTTTTGAGGAGAATTACTATGCTACATTTCATTTTGTTAGTCAAAGAACGTGAAAATAATTCCTTAATATTTTGTATCAACTGTGAAGGACAAATATACAAAATATGTACAGATGACCTCTGTACTATTCCCTTCAAGCCTACTATAGATCCATAGTCATTTATCTAAAAACTCTAGGTTGAGAAACATCAGGAAATTGAGAATTGTTCAGATCTTAGGAAAGTAATACAGTACATACATGGTATACTACCATACCCCACAATGGGACCCAAGGGCAGTACCATATAATCAAATACATTAATATTTCTCTAACAAAATTCATGAGTATTTGCACAAAATGGGATAAAGACCATAAATAGCCCCATATTGGGTGAGTTCTAGTATTGCCCCCAAATCAGTTTTGGTGCCAAACTTAAGCAAAAACTTGTGGTTTTCAGAGCTTCAAAATTTTGGAATTGCAGAGAAGGGACTGTGGACCTGTATTGTGAGATACTTAAGTTTACACTTAAATGGTAAAGATTTTCTCTCACTAAAGCTGTGATATAAATGCCAATAACTGGTAGAGTGAAGATAAATTTTTCAAATTCACTCTTTTAAAGGACACAGTAAAATGAAGAGAAAGATCCAATAGGTCACAGAATAATTTTTGAGCACCTTCTAATTCAGAGGGTAACATTAGGTGGCCCAGGGAATTAAAGTCTTAAGCCCTGGTTTCTCTCTCTCTTGTGTTATCTAATCATTTTAGTCATTTTGTAGCCAGAACGATCTTTCTAAAATACAAATCATACCCTGCAGGGTTGACAGGACAAAACCGAAGTCCCTCAGTTTGTCAGAAAAGGCCTTTCACATGTGACCCTCGTGTCTCTCTCTCCTCTCACTCTCCTTGCCTTCCCGACTCCACCCTACCATTCTCCGCAGTTCTGAACCACTCAGAGCTGCCTCCGACATACTTTGTGCACTCTCACTACCCTGGCTGGACATGTCCTCCTCCCCACCTGAACGCACGCTACTGTTTTATCTGGCATCTCCTTTTGGCCATTAAGATTCCGCTTGGATGTCACCTCTTGGAAGTTGTCCCTGACTCCCCTCTCTCCCATGCCCTTTGACGGCAGCATGGACTTCTATCTACAAAAACATTTGGCATACTATGCTAAATGGGCAGTTTCCCTTAGTCCCTACACCAGACTCTGATCTCCCTGGGGGCAAAGACCACGTCTTCCTCTTCATCACTGACTGTATCTTCAGCATGCGGCACAGTCCTGCCACATGGATGGTATTGCATACCTATTTGCCAGATAAATTAACAAAATGAATGAAACACAGAATAGGTTCAGAAGAGAGAAAAATCACTTAGGGTAGGGGAGTTGAAGAAAGAATCTGAACCAGACCTTGGAAGATACGTAGATTTTTGACAGCTCAAGGTGGGAGAAGGCATTTTAAATTGGGATGTAGCTGAAACATAGAGACAGGACAGTATCAGGAATATTCATCACTGCCCCCCTTGAATAACCTTATGTCACTGGAGGATAGGGCTTGTGGGGGAAGAAAAGGAAAGAGCTGAAAAGAATGCTGATATCATTGTTATTACTATTAATTAAAAAGGCACTGTGGTAGAAAGAATGACAAATAACTAGCTGTAAGAGCTTAGGTAAAGTCACTCCTCCTCTCCTGGTATTATCCACAAAATTGAGGAGTGGAATGACCTTTTACAGCCCTAAAATTCTATGATCTTTAGAAGTGGAGTGATCTAGCTTCCTGGGAGTTATATATTTGTGGGGTTGGGGAAGGCTCTGGGTGCCAGGATAAGGAATCCAGACTTCCTGCTGTAGGCAGTGTAAACTCACCAACGCCACTGACCATGGGTGTAATCTGATGATGTGACAGGGATTCGAAGGCAGAGGAGAGACTCCCAGGCAGGCAGCAAGGAGACTCCCCAGGGGACTGTAAAAGTATCGAACTGGGCATCTCAATGGTATGGGCATTGAAGCAATACAATAAAGACCTGGGGTTGGCCCCCTGGGGTAAAGTTAGTAAGTCAGTCATCTTGGGGATCCTAAGAAGTATTGTTTCTAAAGGAATTACTGGAGAACAAGCCAGTCCAAATCTTTATGTTCACTGTTAAATGAAAGCTGCTACCCAGATATGGGTGCTGGAGATCACTGAGCTTCAGAAATGCTGACCGTGGGTAGGTGGCGGTCTCCACTCTCACTAACCTGATGCACACAGATGTTACACTTATCACAGAACACCATATCATTCCCTTCTTCACTGTCTGGAGACCGGCACACATCACAGATCACATCTTCATCATACTCTATGCCTAGCCCTTCCTCTGTCTCAATAGCATGGTTCATATGTTCATGGCAATGGCGTTCCAGGACTTCTACTGTCTTTTCCATAAGATTCTCATCAACTGGCCCACAACCTGCACAGAAATACAAACAATCAATCAACCCGTCAGTCAGCTGTCATTCCCAAATCACCTACTGTGAGCCCAATGCGTGGGTAGGGGGATTCTAAAGGATAAAACCATCTCTCCCTTGATCTAAAACAACCAGATTTCAAGGAATCTTTCACTAGAGCCATTCTAATATTTACCTATCATCACATATTAGTGTTTGGCACATGAAAGGAGAAATGCATTTCATCATATTCCTTATAAGATACATTACTGACCCTTTCAATTTTCTGTCTAAATCCTAGCCAGTCTCCTCCTAAATCTCTCTCTGTTTTCTCTTATTTCCACTGAGGGAGAACTTTCACAGCTTTGTAATTCTGAACACTTTAACTGACAGCATAATAAAATAATGAGAATCACATAACTATTTAAACATAAATAATAATTCATTCTTAGCAAATTAGTCCCAATGAGCACATCTAATGGTTATACAAAGATATTTTCATATAAAAAGGTATTAAGGCATAAAAGAAAATTCTAGGTAATGTATATATAATCACACATATGAAATATTTTGTTTTCCAAACCTGACTTTAAAAAAATCCAATAATATTGTCCAATGGCAAACTATAATATAAAATAAACCCATTAGTATTCACAAAGGTCTAACTGCAAATTCTGAAATTGCCTTTTTTGCCTCTTGATTCCTTTTTCCTTCTATACTTTTAATTTCTCTTAGCCTTCCATCCTTAACAACCTAACTAAAAGATCCATATGGTGGATACTGGTAACAACTAAACATTTTTTTTCTTAGAGGGACTAATGATTTTGTGAGAGTATATATACTTATTCTAATAGCTTATCAACAATCCCAAACAAATTTACCCAAGTATTGCCCTTCATTTGTAATATACGATACCCTAAGGAACTTTGGAATTCCATATATGGAATTTGTAATGTTGTAGCTACTTAGGAAACCAAAAACTACCCAGGTAGTATGTTTCATTTTTCCAGCCAAGACAAATCACACATTTTCTTTCTGGAGTGGAGGAATAGAGTGTCTGGTTACAAGAGCACTTGGATTCAAATTGCAACTTGACCTCATATTGGTTATGTAAACTTTGACAAGTTATTTAGCCTCTGTAGAGCTCAATTTCCTTATTTGTAAAATGAGGATAATAATACCAAACTCACTGATTTCTTGTGAGGCTGAGATGAGGTAATTGTTCGTACATTGCTTAGCACAGTGCCTGGTATGTAGCAAGCACTCAATTTTTAAAATTCCTTAATCTGAACCAAAAAAACATGCTTAATTTAATATTGTTTTTCAAAGTTCATTTTAGGCTCTTAGAAGCCTCGATACAATATCATTCACACTAAAGGAATGCTTGAGATAAGGTAATCCTCTTTTAAAACTCGTCCAAGCCTAAATGTAATGTGGTATCCTGGATGGGCTCCTGGAACAGAAAAAGGTCATTAGTGGAAAAACTGGTGAAATCCCAATAAATCCTGGAATTTAGTTAATAGTAATGTACCATGTTGGTTTCTTAGCTTTGACAAACGTACCATGGTAAAGTGAGATGTTAACACTAGGGGAAACTGACACTGTGTGAAGGGCATACAGTTAACTGTATTAAATGTGCAACTTTTCTGTAAATCTAAAACTACTCCAAAATTTAAAAGTTTATTAAAAAAACTCATCCAAAGAGAATTAACTGCAAAATACCAAAGGGACTTTGTTATAAGGTGGGGTCATGTTGAAGGCAGCACTGTGATGTTGTAATGTATATGGCTGCTGTATGGTTCATAAACACAAGTGCACATCGAGCCATCAATCCACTTGATTATGCCCTCATACTCTGATTCTCCCTCTCTGTCAGTCTTTTATTCTCTTCTCTTTGTGGTTCCCAGCCTAAACTGACTCATCTCCTCTTAGAAGGCAAGCAAGAGAAGACATAAGACAAAAGGCTTTAAAAAGCAAGAAGGATTGGTTACTGGTAGAATAAGTACCACCATCATACCAAATTGGATTTAATAGAATTTTATTTTTTATTCACACACAGATATCAACCTCTAAAGAAAGAAAAAAAAGGGAGAGAGGAAAGAAAAGGAAAACCACTGATCCTTGTTGTACTAACAATGAACAAATGTGATTCAAACAAAAATGAAATCGAATGTATCTTTTATCATAGCTCATATGGAGACCTAAAAACCACTCGTTGTTCCACAGGACCACTTGGACCTAAACGCTGCTCAGATTGAAGACAGGTCAAAAAGAGCTGTGTGTAAGTATAAAGTGAGTTTCCTTTCAGTCTAGGATTTCCCAGCATCACCAGTATGGTACTGTACGGCATATATTTATTTTAAAATTATAATTATGTTTATTTCCAAGCTGTTGCTTTGCTTGTTTTTGCTTTATTTTACTTTATTTTTTGAGAATTGCACGACAACTCTATAACTCACTGGAAGTAGCTAAGAACTGCTCTGGGGATGTTTTGCCCTAGGCCTTCCATTCTTCTGGGCACCAAACTTACAAGCCCTCCATTAAGGCATCCTGGTCACGTTGACCTGTCAGCTGCAGCGGTGCTGCCTAAAGCTGATGTTGGAGCTTCTTTCCATCAGGTGGAGGTGGCAGAGGCTCCGCTACCCCTGGCCCTGCTCATTGATCAGAGTGCTTTTCAGGGCTGAGCAAGGAACCAGGCTCAGAATCCTTCTCAACCACAAGTCCAATCAGCCATGACCATGCTCACACTCAGAATTGGGAAACATCCTCCTGAAACCTACATGCCATCCCTGATCTGTGCTATTCACCATGAACAAGGAAAGAAAAGGTCGGATTTAAATGTTACTGCTCTATATCAATATATGTATGCGTTTCAAGAAATGCCTCATTAGATAAGATCAAAGAGAAAAATAAATGAAAAGACCAGAAAAGAATGGAAGCCACTAGATGAAAGCAAGTTAAATGGTCCTGACAACTTTAAAAAGCCCCACAAATCAAGTCAAGGAACAACTTACTTGTTGAGAAAACAACTTACCCATTTCTGCGAGGTCTTCATTGAGTTCCTGGAGCCAGAAGATGTCCATGTCATCTAGGTCATAGCGACACACAGATGCTGCCAGCTCCATGATGTTGATGTAGCCAGGCTCTGCGGTCTCTGGGCTGGAGCAGTGGATGTACTTCCTGGGCCGAATAAACAGAACCTCCTTTATCTTCTCGGCGATAATCCTAGAAAGGCAAAAGAAAGATACCAGTAACAAACAAATGACAGATTTCACGCACTTAGGCCAGACAGCGGAGTTGAACACTCTCCCGTTCTACCCTGAGGAAATCCCCTGCTCTGCTAACTGGGAGGTATGGCAGATCTCTTTCTAGAAAGCAAATGGTTCTACAAATTCAGTTTTATCATCTGCTGTGAACACTGACTGCTAACAATCTGCTTCATTTACCTTCATGGCTCCTAGGTTCCTACTACCATTCATTCTAATAAAATGTTGCTGCATTGTGTCTTTTGGGGCAATGACCACCAAGTTTATTTAGAAGGGGAAATTTAGGAAGGAGTGATACTGGCACAAAGGCACAGGCAGATTCCACGTCAAAGATATATTTCAGCTAAATTCATGGTTTTCTGCCATGGAAGCAATACTGGATGGTGGTAAAAAGTACAGGCTATAGCCTGTATATATATATATATATATATATATATATATATATATATATATATATATATGTATATAATGTATATAATGTATGTTGAATAAAGTTAATAACTACACACATTTGCACATTTTAATTTTTCCAGCATATGGAGTTTTTAAAGACAAAGGCAACAAATACTTGAGGAAAAAAGCAGAACTCTAAAATATTAATTGAAGCTAAAATTTTGGAAACTGCTGTCAGAGGCCTGTTTCCATCTGAAATGAACCCAATTGAAAAGGACAAGACATACATATGAATTCTAGAGAGACTATGGGATTAAATATGCTGTGCTTTTTTAGTATGGGCTGTGAGATAATTATAGATATCTAAGTATCTAATTTTTTTCAAAATCCATCTTTTTCTAAATGGAAGAACATTTTGCTAACTATTTATCTCAACTGCCTCAAATTCTACGTGGAACAAGGTAGACTATAAATTTTCTTAAATTAAAAGTAATATGTTTACTAAGATTCTGGAAGAAAACAAAGGGGGAATATCCTTATGACCTTGGTCTAGGCAAAGATATTTTAAATAAGACATAAAAGCCATTAACCATAAAGGAAGAGATTGAAAAACTTGTGTTTATCAACAATATATAATAAACTTTTACAAATCAATTAGAAAAAGACAGACAACCCAATTAAAAACTGGGCAAAAAACTTGAACAGACATTTCACAAAATAAGGCTATCCAGATGGCAAGAAAACTTTTAAAAAGGTTCTCAACCTCATTAGTTATCACAGAAATGCAAATTGAAATCATAATCCCTATTACCTACCAGAATAGCTAAAATTAAAAAGACTGACTAAAAATTGATGATACTAAGTGTTCGTAAGGAAGTGGAGCAAACGGACTTCTCATACACTGCTGTGGGGAGTGTGAATGGGTAAAATCACTTTGGCAAACTATTTGGCAGCAGATGTTATAGATGAACATAAGCATATCCTATGATCTAACAAACTCACTCCTAGGAATATACTTAAAAAGAAGTACACATATGTACACCAAAAGATGAATAAAAATGGCCATATTAGCATTTTTCATAATAGCTGAAAACTGGAAGCAACTCAAATATCTATCAAAAGCAGAACAGATAAATAAAATGTGGTATATTCACACAATGGAATAGGACACAGAAGTGAAACAATTAACTACTACATGCAACAGCATGGATGAATCTCACAAGCATAAAGATGAACAAAACAATCCAGTCTTGGTATGAAGTTCAAAACCAGGAAAAACTGTCGCCTATGGTGAGGGAGGTCAGTTAGTGGGCAGAAGCAGAAGGAGGGCTTCTCGGTTTTGGTAATGTTTTATTTCTTGTTGTGGGTGACAGTATATTTAATTCATAAAAATTCATTGACTTCTTCTCCGAGAAAACACCAAATGGCGAATGACGCCGGTGCTGTGGGAGGGCCTGGAGGGCCTGGAGGCCCTGGGGGCCCTGGACTGGGAAGCTGCGGAGGCTTCGGCAGTGGAGTCTGGGGCCGGGGTCACGGCCGCAGAGCTCGCGGAGGCAAGGCCGAGGACAAGGAGTGGATCCCCGTCACCAAGCTGGGTCACCTGGTCAAAGACATGAAGATCAAGTCCCTGGAGGAAATCTACCTTTTCTCCCTGCCCATCAAGGAGTCTGAGATCATTGACTCTTTCCTGGGGGCATCTCTCAAGGAGGAGGTTTTGAAGATTATGCCGGTGCAAAAGCACACCCGTGCTGGCCAGCGGACCAGGTTCAAGGCATTTGTTGCCATCGGGGATTACAATGGACATGTCGGTCTGGGTGTGAAGTGCTCCAAGGAGGTAGCCACTGCCATCCGTGGGGGCATCATCCTTGCCAAACTCTCCATTATTCCCGTGCGACGAGGCTACTGGGGGAACAAGATCGGCAAGCCCCCATACTGCTCCTTACAAGGTGACAGGTCGCTGTGGCTCTGTGCTGGTGTGCCTCATCCCTGCCCCCAGGGGCAGTGGCATTGTGTCAGCTCCTGTGCCCAAGAAGCTCTTGATGATGGCTGGTATTGACAACTGCTACACCTCAGCCAGGGGCTGTACTGCCACCCTTGGCAACTTTGCCAAGGCCACCTTTGATGCCATCTCTAAGACCTACAGCTATCTCACCCCCGACCCCTGGAAAGAGACCGTGTTCACCAAGTCTCCCTATCAGGAGTTCACTGACCATCTTGTAAAGAACCACACCAGAGTCTCCGTGCAGAGGACCCAGGCTCCAGCTGTGGCTACCACATAGTTTTATACAAGAAAAATAAAGTGAATTAAGCCTGTTAAAAAAAACCAAAAAACAAACAAACAAACAAAAAAATTCATTGAGTTATACAGTTACGCTTTGGTTCCTTTTCTATGTGTATATTATATTTCAGTTCAAAATTTATAATGATGATGATGATGATATCTCACTCATCTTTTCATACGTATCTTAAACTAAAGGTCTGAATCTAAGGACTGAGTCTATGACAATAAAAAATCATAGACTGAAACAGTAATACCAAAGGCAAGGAAATATGTGGGTAAAAGGTGAAGTTAATACACAAGGACAAATTCTTTCTCAGAAGGAGAAATTCTTGCATTTATAATGACAGAGGGAAAAGTCTATGAGAATTAGTGAAGAAATATTACTTTGGGATTTTTAAAAATGCAGCTTTAACATCTTCAAGTACCTATAACCTTGCTACAGCTAGAGGAAATCCCAGGATTATCCCTGGGTAATTTTCTTCTCTCGTCACTATATACTAAGTATAGAGACACTCTTTGAATGGTCACAGGCCACTGATCAATTCAGCAAAAGCTTGCAAGCCTAGAGGCACGAGCAATTTTATTTGGATGACATAGTAAGTACAGTTTTCAATTTAGATGCTTGAATGTAAACGAATATTTTAATAACTTTCTAGATGATTGACCTTTGGTGAAAGGACCTATAACTGCACCTGCTTAGCCCCATAGAAAGAAGGCCTGTCCACCTGCTTGTCAGGGTAGGCCAGCTACCTCTGGCCCGTGTGAACACTGAGGAGGCAGTAAAAGGAAGCTGCAACCACTCTAACCGACCTATGGGGCCTCCTCCAGTGTCTTATGCACAGTGAGTCCCCAGTGTGTCTTCAGTTGATCTAAATATTTGGCAGGTAGAGACTATGCTTCATTTCCTAATGAGTAGATTGGAATCATTTGTGAACAGCACATAAATTGCACAACTATTATAACATCATGGATTCTTTAAAGGCTTGAAATAAATGTCTTAAAAGCTAACTAAATAGGAGCCCTTTGTAATAATATCTCTAGGAGTAGTTTCCCAAGACGCCCCTTGTTAATCTGGCCACTCTGGGGTGACGGTTTCTCTATAAGACTTCATGCCTCATCTATGAAACAAAGGACACTTATAACTTCAGTGACAGATGATATTTTCAAAATCCCACATGCTCTTCTGCAATGTGACTTTGTTACTCCTCCATCAAGTGGTGAACTCTAATTTTCCCTCCTCTTGAATCAGGGATGGCTTGTGACCGTTTCCACCAACAGAATATGGCAGAAGCAATGCTATGAGAATTGCGAGGCTGGGTCATAAAACGGAACACAGCTTTCACTTTGTTTGCTGAAACATGTGCATGTAGAACCCCGTGACTGAGGCCTATAAAAAGTCTGCCTATGCTGAGCTTGTCATGCTGTGAAGGAGCCAAACCACATGGAGAGGCCATGTGCAGTCTTTACGTGATCCCAGCCCAGGTGACAGACATTAGTGAATAAACCTTCAGATGATTCCAAGTCTCCAGTTGCTGAGTCACCCCCAAACTTCAAGTCTTGCCAGATGATGCCCTAGACATTGTAGAGCAGAGACAAGCCAACCCCACTGTGCCCTGTCTGAATTCCTGACCCATAAGAATCCATGACTATGATAACACAGTTGCCTGAAGCTGCTAAGTTTGGGGGCAGCAGTAACTGGAAAAACAATTTATGCAGCAACAGTAACTGGGAAAACCCCTAAAGGACTGCTTTAAACTTTAAGTAAGATAAATGTGTGTACGAAAGTGCTCTGTACATTGTGCTCTTTATTGATTCTCATAATTGAAAGCAAGAATGGTAGACTGCTGCTGTCTAAAATGGAAGGGGAAAGGAAGTGTGGGAAGAGTGGAGCAAGGAGAGTAGGGGGAGCTGAGTGGGGCAGGATGATGAAATACAGCAGGAGTGGGAGGCAGGCTTGTGCTCCCATTTATCCTTAGGGGTTGTTATTCCTTTGACTTACTATACGAAATCTGAATATCTTTTGAAAGCAGTGCCAAGAGGATCTCCTTTAATATTGAATATGGGGTATGAGGCAATGAAGAATCAAAGATTACTCTAAGAATTTTGGCTTGAAACACTGAAAAAACAGAGTTACAACAGGAAGGATGGATCTGCCATTAGTTAAACATGGAAAACTACAGGTGGAACTAGTTTGAGAAGATGTTCAGTAGTTCAGTTTAGGGAATTTTAAGTCTGTGACGTCTATTGGACATCCAAGTGGAAATGTTGAATTGGTGGTTGTATAT